AACATGGTAACTATCACCTCAATCATCGCCATTCGCCCCAACCTCTACTTTTATAATTTTTAGTTAGTAACTGAATTTTGGATGAATGAATAAACAAACTTCGAGCTGAGGTTTGCTATATATTATACTAGTCATAGTAAGTACTTGTCATTTATGATATATGCGTCACAATATCGCTAATGACGTAGGTATATCTGCGTCAACTGCATAGTACTTTGTATGCTCCGCTGCGTATCTGCAACTTATATTATTTACACATTTGCTATAATGTGTAAATGATTGAATAGAGAGATGGGAAATGTTAGAATAAAATTCGTCCTTTTATTATACTTTCTTTCTGGCTGTGGAGAATGGAAAGCCATTAATTGATTCTACATTTAAAAATAAAATTTGGCGCCAAAACATATCGCCAGTAGCCCCTACAGTATGTACATATTATAGATTACTTACTATACGACAGATACATGTAAATGTATATGTATCTGTCGCTTTCTAAGTAATCTGTGCCATATCTGAACCGGAATGTAAATACCTACGTAGTGCATTTTAAAGCAGTAATACTCATATTCTACAAAATACTCTGTTTTTCTTTTTTATTTAGTATTAAACCCTCAGAATATATTTTATATTTTTTAGTTGCCACATTGTATTATTATTGTAGGTGGTAGTGCGTTAGGGTCATAAATTAGGAGTTGGGATTTAAAGTTCTATTTATTGGGGTGCAAGTATTTATCTATACATAAATACTTGCACCCCGATTTCTACAAGTTTGTTGTATTCCACGAAATTACATTTTTTTTTAATGTTTTTATGTGACTGGACTAACTCAGTATTATAACGAAAATATATTGCAGTTTCAACGTTATAAATATCAAGTAATAGCAAAAGTGATAGAAAACGATTGGGTTTACCCCAAAATATCATTGGAACATATTGGGATTTCCCTTTAGTATTAATTTTATTAAATGCAGAGCATTTCACAGTAGTGTTAGACATAGCATTTTAATTAAGATGAATAAGGAAACTTCCTCAACGTGTAAATTATTGGAACTTAATTGTGTATATATATCTAAGTGCATTTTATATGATAGTTGACAATTTAATACCACGATATTAACACAGATCTCGTAAGATATAATAATATTACATAGTATTAGGTAGCTTAGGGTATAAACACATTTTAGATAAAATATACTTTTTTGATTGATGATGATGATGATACCTTGTTTGTAACACACAGTAAAGAAAAAGGCATAAACAATATATTAAAGGACAACATGTATAGTTACAATAAAGCGGCCTTATTGCTGAAAGCAAACATTTCGAAATCGGCCGGTCAAAATAAGACTGTGAAATTGGTACAAAAGTTTTTAATCGGCGGCTGTCAAAAGATTTTAAACGTAACTTTATGGTGTATTTTTATAAATATAAAAAATACTGGCCATAGATTTTTTTTAAATTATATACTTAGTTATTATTTGAATTGTAAGTTATCAAAATATATTCACATACATATATATGTACTTAAAATTCTACAGATTGAAAACAAAGAAGAAAATACGTTGAAAAATAAATCTAACATTTTCTTTTTTTTTTTAATTAACGGGTAACATATACCTATTCATTTGGTTACTTATTAGTGTTATGACATTATATGTTATTAGGTACATGTCATTTCCCATAAGAAGAGGGTAATTCATTAGATTTTATGTTATTACTATATTATTATTATATATTATGATATGGCATAATATATAATAATAATAGAATAGAATAGAATAGAAAATCATTTATTCAAATAAACTTAATTTAAGCACTTTTATATAAACCATTTGTTTTTTATCTACCACTCGTCTCGTCTCGGAAAGCTGTCTCATCACAAGAAGAACGAGCAAGAAACTTGTGTGTTGCTCTTTTAAATAATCCTTGTAAGTTTACATTTACAAGTCGAAACGTGTGAATACAAACTACCAACAAGCACTATTTTTTTGGGTCAAATATAATAATAATAATTTTAAATCAGTCGTAGTGATAAAGACCAGTTTTATAAGCAGCATTTCATTATAAAATCACTGCGCTCGACCATTTTTAGTTAATATCTGGACATTTTAAATATTACTCATTCCACACGACCACGTCATAGTTATAAAATTATATATAGTTACAGATTCGTTTAATGGATGCATTGAATATAGAACATAATCTTAGAACATTTCACAGCGCCATCTAGTCCCAAGTTAAGCTAGCTAAAGCTTGTGTTATGGGTACTAGATAACTGATACAAATACTAGAAAACTACTAAAAGCTGTGAAAATGAGACAACCATAATAATAATAATAATTTTATTTGTAAAAGTAATTTTTATATGGTATTATTATAAAAACTTCTTAGTTAATATCTGATTAAATATTACAGTCATGTAGTTATAGTTATAGTTATATATAGTTATGGATAGTTTAATGTATTGATTGAATATTAAAACCCTATAACTAGGTATCTAGTCAATTATTGCCTGCAAAGTTATGTTGCAGGCAATAATTATGTAATTATGCGTAATAATGAAACAAGGCAAACTAATTAAAATGATTACCTTCATAAATGTTTTATTCAAATAAATTTTACAGATAAAAGATTCATATTCTTGAATAGTATTACATTTTATCTGTAATATTACATACCACAGATAATAAACGGAGGAATTTTTCGAAAGTTCTAAATTCGAATTTATGAAATTATAATAATAATTATTATTACTTTACATTTTAAGTTTAAGTGTGTGAATACAAACCACCAATTAGCACTAATTCAATTAAATACTCAAATAGATAAAATATTGAATATATAACCCAATTATTGTAGGCGCTATTCTTTACCAGTCAATTTTGAAAACTTTTTGAGCCGAGTAAAAAAATTACTGAATAGATATTTTTTAAAGATGAAAACGTATATTTTGTTTCCATATACAATGATAACTGTTTTTCAGAATAAACACTGACCGAAAGCTTTCTCTCTTTAATCATACCTACGTAATTCTCTGTCATATATATACATATAAGTATATATATTCTTATTATTATTATACAGTCAACTACAAGTTAATAAAGTAATGTTTTTTAGAAATTCGTTTTATAAAATATGTACTATTTATATATTATAAAATATGTACTATTAGCGACCAGTCCCGGCTACGCAAGGATGCATTACAAATCTTTGAATTTCTCGGCTTGTTCTATACAATAACACGTATGTATTATACATATAGACCTTCCTGTTAAATCACTCTACAAATCGATAAAACTGCATTAAAATCTGTTGCGTAATTTTAAAGATATAGGTAAGCGAACAGACAACAGCAAGAAATGCCAGGATTGACACATTCAAAAGCCCTAATATCGGGCTACTCGAACAAATACTCCAATAGACTACTGCTATTGAGTAAAAACGCACAATGTTCGTTACCATACTCCTCCTAAACGGCTTGATCCATTTTTATTAAATATTTAGGTATGCATATTCAGTAGGTCTGAGAATCGGCTACTATCTATTTTTCACATCCCTAAGCGATAAGGGTTGTCCACCTCTAACATTTTATTTATATTTTTATAATATGGTTTAAAAAGACATACAAACCAAAATTTTCACCCTTCTATCACCAATCCCTATATTTAAATGGCGTTACTAATTTATATGGCAAAACAACGTTTGCCGGGACAGCTAGTATTATTATAAATTAGGAAGTGTTCTTTTTTTTCATTATAATTCTTAGTAATGGTTTTACGTTTTTGTTTTGTGTGTGTTTTGTGATCATTTTATATTAAGTCGATTGTAATTGTGAGTGTCGTATGTTTAAGAAATAATATTTATATAACTAATTAATATTATTTCATTTCTGTCTGTATGATTGTTCCTTTTATACGATAAATGGATATTCCTCATTGATGTTATAGATATATGAACGTATTGTATCAAAAGGGCGGATATATAGCACAAATTAACGTATTATTAATTTGTGCTATATATATAAATATGATTTAATTAAAATATAAGATAAAATAATAAAAATATTTTATTAAATAATACTCCACACGAGATTGCTATAAGATTAATGTTAGCCACAAGACCTCAATGTAACGTTGTTAACATTTTCTAATTTACCCATAGTGTGGTTTGTATTTGTTTTCTTAGTTATTATTATTATGTATTTACAACTAGCTATGTCTCCGACTTCGTCTGCATGGAATAGTGGTCTTGGAGTTAATCTAACCCAAAAAATCAAAGAAAAATGTTTCATAGTTGTAGCACAGATAACATAATATGTTGTAGCTTCAAAAATGACGAATTTCCATACAAACTTTGAAAGTTCATTACATTTTACCCTCTTAAGAATTTTTTTTTTCAATCTTTCAATGTCTTATTTATTAATATTTAATGAACAGCCCTAAAAAATAAGTATCAAGCTTTTAGGTTTAAAATGACGATATTTCCATACAACATTTCATGTACCCTTTCAACCCTTTACAATCCTTTTTCGCATTAAAAAGTAGCTGATGTCCATTTTTAGGGATTAGACTATCTGTGTATTAGATTTTATTTAAATCGGATCAGTAGTTTTAGCGTGAAAGCGCGACAGATCGACGGACAGACAGATTTACTTTCGCTATAATAATATTAGTAAGATTACTGTGTGTGTTTTTAACTGCGTGTCCCCGAGTTTTTGTTATTTATTTAGCTTGATTAACAATTGTTACAATCATACGAATTATTTATTCACATAGGCAGAGTTACTTTCGCATTTATAATACATATATATTAGTAAGTATTATAATTTGTATACGACTACATAGTATTATATTCCCTGAAAATATTAAAGAGAAAAATTCAATCTCTGGAGGTAAGGCACGTGCGCTGTTCTAGGACGCTTGTAGCAAGCAAACAATTAGGTACGCCAGGACTATATATAAATTGGTTGTGGCCGGCCGCGCCACTCAGTTCACTGTTAAACCGTATAAGTGCCGATGCACTTGCATTAAAAAGATATTTCAAATATCGAACGCGCGTTTTCCCGCGAAATAGTTGCAACAGTGAAAGAAAGTACAGGATTCTCTGTGTTTGTGTTTAATCTGTGGTGTAGTGGATATCAAAGAAGTGTAAGTACAAACATTAGATTTTTAAAAATACGTATTTATACATTTATAAATTACAAAAATATATATTCTATTTTTAAAATATATTCAATTAATTTCTTTTCATAATTTCTCAGCAGCATTTATTTATTTTAATATTGGAGGCATATTAACAATCACAAAAATAAAGCAATCATTGTAATCTAACGAATTACATTGAATGGTAAATTGCTTGGATATTCGTTATTTTAATTTGTGACAATTTAGCATCCTTTTGCTATAAAAGTATATATGTTGTAGAAATAATTATACGTAAATATCTATAGTATAAACAATTATAATATAAAATATTTGAAATTAACATAAAATTTAACGAAATTAGATAATACCAAAATAATGAAATTTTACGTTATATTTAAAATTGACGCTGTTTAATTGATTCTTAAATAATAAATATATTTATTATTTAATGAAATTGGTATTATTTAATAATGTAATGTGAATTGCTTAAATATTTTATACCTTCATAACACAAAATATTATATATATATGTGGCCAAGTAATGTTAATAATATTTATTAAACCCTAAACATGAATTAATATGTTTATTTTATATTTTCTAATTTCGTTGCTTTATTATTCAAATTACTTAACTTTTTTATATGTATTATGTAATAAGTTGGTAGTAGATATTATTTCAATTTTAGGTATATACCTAAAAATGAAATCTTCGAAAAAGTATTTAAAATTTCAATATAAAATATAAAAGTAAACTTACATCGTTATGATATTATAAAAAGCTATGTAAATTGTAATTAAAGTTATATATTATATTGTAAAAAGCATCAACAATATCGATTTACAATTGCAGATATCGTAACTAATAAAAATAGTTCCTCCAACTTTGAAGTCGGTTGAAATCTCAATACGTAGGTACCTATTTTTATCATCTTTATTTATATCGCGTGGTTGCGCCGGTAAATTGCATAATAAGAGATATTTTAATTATTCATGATTAATATATAATGGATTTGTGTGTGTTTTGTATGATTGTACTCAAGACACACACAAATTCATTCATTTCACGCAAAAACTACTGAACCGATTTTGATGAAACTTTACAGTCATATAGCTTGTGCATCAGAATAACATCAGGCTATATATTTCACGCGGGTGAAACCGCGGGCACAACTATACACATATAGTACATATATGTTTTTATATATGAATTTGAATTTTATGATTGACATATTCAAATAATCATTAAAAAATGTTAACGCCACTTTAAGCCATTCATCACACGGGGTTTTTGTATTACTATGAGCCCGTATGGGTTTTGCCCATTCTCAGCAACGGTAGACGTGGTACTAGGAAATGAGAAGGCGAAACGACCAAATGACTCATTATTTGTTATCAAACATACCGAGGGTCACTAAAGTACATTAATATATTTTTATGTAAATAGTAATGATGTTTTTAAGAACTTTAATCTTTATTTATGCTGGTAAATACTAGTTGTGCCCGCGACTTCGTGTCTGTATTCGTTAAGCCTTCCTATATTGATGGTACCAATGGTACTAATGAAAAGACAATTTTTACATAATATAAAACTAAGTGGCTGCCGTTATTCGATTATATCTTTTAAATTATTTTTGCCACGCCCAACCACATTGCGGAAAGACGTTCCAGCAATAGTATTTCCAAACCGATACGATATGGAAATCTTCAAGAAAACAGCTTATTCTTTTTAAAAGGCCGACAATGTAGGTACTTGCAATTCCCCTGGGTTGCGGGTGCTCATGGGCGGCGGTAAACACTTACCATCAGATGAGCCGCATGCTCGTTTCGTCCTTGTGTTATAAAAAAAACATAACGAAGTTATTGCTCTTTTTAAGAATAGATAGAGTGATTCAAAAGGAAGGTTTATGTGTATAATACGAGCACACACGTGTTAGAAGCCGAGAAAATCAAATATTTGTAATGCATTCGTCCGAAGCCGGTACGGGTCACCAGTAATATTTAAAACATCTTTATGATACCATCTATTATTTTATTATTATACAAAAATAAAAAGAAAACTTCAGACCAACAGAAAAAATTGTTATTTCAGCGCGGGGGGGATAATTTACGTCTTTTAAACCGACTCCAAAAAAGGAGGACGAGGTTCTCAATTCGACTGTATTTTTATAAATTAATTTGAAAAAAATATTTTGAATGTTCAATTTATTTACATCAGTCTTAAATGTACAGAAGTTATTGTGTTAGAGGCATAGTTTAAACAGCTCTGTTTTTTGTTCTCACAGCCCTAAAATATTTAATTGTCAAGTGTAATAGAACCTTGAAAACCCGCCCCGAGTCTCCCCGAGCGGTGTACGAGATAACTTGTGCCAAGATCAAGGTTGGTCAATGTCATATAACTCGTAGTTGTCGATTGAAACTTTTCAAATTTAAATTCTGTATTCGTGAAATACAGATAACAAAGGTCTTAGAATAAATAACATGGTTTCACTGTCTTCTGCAATTACTTCTGCAATTAATTATTAATTATTGCGTAAAAAAACGTGATTTAATTTTCAATATATATTATTAAAGGAATAAATTATATTTTATGCAATAATCCTTATTATATGATTATATAATTTACTAGCTACTCGAACCGGCTTCGCCCGAGTATGTATTATATTGTATTATATTATATTATATTATATTATAATGTATTATAAATATAAACGTTCCTCTTGAATCACCCTATCTATTAAAAGAAAACAAAAAAAAATCTTCAAACTACGTTAAAAAAATAAAAATAAAACAGCTTCATTTTGAAGTAGCTTCGTTGAGTAGTTTTATAGATTTAAGCATACATAGGGATGGACAGACAGCGACAGCGACTTTGTTTTATACTATGTAATGATTAGTCGATAAATGGTAACGTATGTAGTAAGGTAAAATATTGATTCGTAGACAAAGTTATTGTACACAACTGTGTACAATAACTTTGTCTACGAATACGTACACAGTTAGCTTTGACAATTTTAGCTCAGATGTAAAGTCCCGTTTTCCACTGAATTCTATAAGTGCGTAACTCAATTCGATAGTTGTCGTATATATTGTTTGTTTATGACGCAAACTATATATTTTTGTGGACTTATATGACGTCAATTTTGCTCTAATTTTAATGAGTCAATTTGCAATGGATGCTGAGGTTTATTCCCTTATTTTATTATTATGATTTATTTTGAGAATGTAGATAATTTTGTTTATGTAATTAGAATAGTAAATAAAGTGACAGCCCACCTGATCGAAAGTAACAATCGTATATACAAGTCTAGACTCTACATACATTTTAGACTAGCTGTTATCGGCGACATCGTCCGCGTGGAATTTAACTTCCAACGTTTAAATTTATGTTTATCTGAAATTTATATTTTACTAGCTGACCCCGAAACGTTGAAGTGCTATATAAATTAAATTTGCTTTTAAAAAATAAGGGTTGGTGATAGAAGGGTGAAAATTTAAGGTTGTTTATTATATATATTTTTAAATGCTAAATCATAATAAAATAAACCTAAAGTAGTATGTCGGGATGATAAAAAAAAATAGAGTTGGACAAAACTTATCTTAGGAGTAAAAATAAATAGTACCGGATTCTCAGACATACATAATATGAATATAAAATTTCATAAAAATCAGTAAATCTATTTCGGAGGAGTATGGTAACTAACGTTGTGACACGAGAATTTTATATATAAGAAGATAAATCGACGCATTATGATTTTTTAAAGATTTTCATTGTCATTTTTTGTCGATACTGGGAACTTGAATTGCCTTGATTTGTAGGTCACGATCAGCACTCCGAACTCAACATTATTAGTTATAAATATTTAATTGGCCGGCGCATTATATATTCATAAATAGTGATACAGAATCGCTTCTGACTGTGACCTACAAAATCAAGGCGATTTTCAGGGCATTTCAAGGTGTTTTCTTACAGAATTTAGAGTAAAAGATACTGTTTTAATTGTACAATTATATTTGACCGCAAAATTTTACTTAATTTTATAGTGAGATATAGAGAGCTCAGAATAAAAATAAAGAAAACTATTAGAATACTCCAAATATAATATACATATTATTACATATATCGCAAGGAAGGGAATTGTTAGTATGTGTACTAATAACCCCATTGCAAACAATGTACTATGTTTGCAATGGGGTTATTAGTACACATACAGGTAGTCTTCCACGTAGTTTCCCCTGGAAACTATAATATGCTTAAATTAGCGATTAATGTACGCACAGACTCTAAAAGTTACAGACAAAAAAGTCTCGATCTAAGAATTATTCTTATAAATAATTTCTTATATATTTTGTAATAATGTTTTTTTACCTTCCTATTGTATCGAGACTTCGTCCGAGAAAGCGAAAAATTCATTGATAGCAATAAAAAGGTACTTAAAACTTTCTCCAACCCCAATATTAAGTAAGTTAAATGTAAAATTTTATGATCTTTATTGATGCCTCAAAGCTCACTTACATACTATACATATAAATAAAATTGGAGTGTCTGTTTGTAATATTGTAATAACCGTTTTTTACCACACGCATATGAATATAAATACGGTACATACATTTTTTGTCTGTCCGTCTGTCTGTTTGTACCGGCTAATCTCTGAAATGGCTGGACCGATTTTGGCGGGACTTTTATTGGCAGGTAGCTGATGTAATGAGGAGTAACTTAGGCTACTTTTATTTTAGAAAAATAAAGTTAAATTCCACGCGGACGAAGTCGCGCTTACAGCTAGTTCACTATATATTTCGACATAATCTTGACAGTCTTCTTTAAACACATGTTGGACATGTTTTTACCTATTCAGTGATAATATTAATATGTACTTACTTATTATGTATTGTCCTGACTAAGATTAATAGGGCTGCTCAGGTATATTCATTAGTTACGTGATGATAAAATAAACATATCTATTCAATTAGTCATACATAATTTTACTACAAAAATACGACGTATT